ATCACAGGCCACTGGGTGTGTTGGGTGCAGTGGACCCCACAGGTAGGTATTTCTAGCAGGTGGCTAGAAATATGGGTCTGGTGCTCAGGAGAGGGGCAAAGGCCACTGGCACATGGCTGGGGTGGAGTATGGGTGACATACACGGAGGACCAGGACAGGGAGGGCAGGCTGCGGTACTCCGTAACTGAGGGGCTGGCCAGTACATGGAGTGAGATGAGCTGGCAAAATGGTGGGAGCAGGTGAAATTCAGGCTCCATTTGCCTGGACTTTGTCTCATCATCATCAAAAGGGGAAGAAAAGCAACTACCTTTTGGGGTACTCCAAGGTTAAAGGGCATAATAATGCAGTGCACCTGGGTAGTGCCTTTGTTTAGAAATTCGCACAAAACCACTGGTGATCATCAAGGAGGCTGTGTGCGGTCCAGCAGCTGGATGAGATGGGCAGCCACATAACTCACCATGGTCACTGGGCATCACCTGCTGGCAGATGCCACAGACATGCCGGGTTTGTGAGGGAAATCATTCTGGCTATACCACTGTATATATTTTCACTAGGCAAGGTCTAGCACCACAGAAAAATTATTTCTGTTGTTTTTGAATGAGAAGGAAAAAAATGAATATGGCTCACATTTTAAAGGATGGGTCTCAAGAAGCATTTGAAAAATTGACATACCAATTCATACAGTGACCTGTGTGCACACACGCATGAGCAAAGACTGCAAGGGAACAGCAAGGCGGGAACTCAGCCTTTGCGTCATTGCACTATCTGTTGCCTTTAAAAGAAATACAAGACACATTTTTCTGTCGTAAAATACGATTAAGTTTCATTTGCATCTGTCAGTCAGAACTGCATAACATCTGTCTTCTCAGCAGACGTGATGTGGAGTCCCTGAGAAACGCCAGTGAGGCAGTGGGCCTGCCAGGCTGTGGGATGGGAAAGTGCGGGCATGTGGTACTGTCTGCATTCCGGGGACACTCTCAAGTCACACTCATGTAGCACCCCCCATTTTTTTAACAGAGTAACTTCCAAAACATTTTTTATGCTTTAAATAAGCTCTTAGCAAATAGAAACAGGTAAGAATTCGGGTAATGCAGTGTCATATGACCTATGAGTCCATTTAATTCATATAACATAATTTCTAACCATCACAGAGCCAAGGGCCTTCACTACGATGGGCTCAGACAATATGAGGGCTGGGGAGGTGCTTTCAAAAGCTCTCCATTTCCCGATATTCCTGAAACTCCACCTTGAAAATACATTCAAGTCTTGACTTTTCTTCTTTAAGCATCTCTTTTTAAAGCTGTTATTTTCCCCCATGGGGGGTAACACTTTAAAACACTGAACTTAACTCCACAGTGCAAAATCACGGACCAGAGGTATAGGGACAAGCCCTGAGAATGCACTCGGTGTGGTGAGGGGAGGCCAGTTGCCCTCCCTCCTGTGCTGTCTGACCTGAGGAACGGTCCCCAGTCTCCAGATCCCCTAAGAAGCTCCCTCAGCTCACTTCTCCAGGGGACGCTCTCTCTGCGGACAAGCCTGTGTTAATGTCCAGGACTGTCAGAGCCAAGTTCCATGGCTTGTCACTACTCAGGACCTGCTTCCCTACCTGTCCAATGGGGACCCCGCCCACCTGCTTCCTTGAGTGCAAGTAGGGGCACAGGCATGGAAGCAGTCCTCTAGAACTTCTGGGAGCCCAGCCCCTCCACACCCTTTTGCCCTGGGAAACCTGTGTCAGCCTTCTGACTTCCCAAACTCTGAGATGCAGCTTATGAAGCCTGGAGTTTGTGGTACCTTGTCAGAGCAGCCAGTGAAAGCCAGCACACAGCCGCCCGGCGCTGGTGCACTGTGAGGGCCACCCCACCATCCACCACACCCACCTTTTTGGTAGTCAGGTTGTTTTTAATTTTAGCCATTCTATGCCGCTTTGCTTTCTTCTTGGTCATTTCCCCCGTTTTACCAACCTTAACAATCTTAAAAATACAAACTTTTTTTTCCTATTTCATGAATTCTGCTCTCACCTTTAATATTTTCCTTTAGTTTGGTATTCTTTTCCTAACTGCTTGAGATGAATGTGTAGAGCACTGGTTTTCAGCCTGTTTTCCCTTCTAGTAGGAGCATTTAGGACTATAAATTTGACCTTAAAATGACTTTAGCTGTCCTTACAAGTTATGATATATATTTTCATTATTGTTCAGTTCAAAAGATTTTCTAATGTCCCTTTTGACTTCTTCTCTGGCCTGTGGTTTTATAAGTACATTTCTTATTTCCAAATACATGGGGATGTTTGTTATTACTGACTCTTACACTATGATCAGGTGTAACTGCTGATCTATAACAAGCAGAACTATAACATGCTTCTTTTAGGAGGTATTGAGTCAAGCACGCGGTCCATGCTCACAGGTGTCGAGTGCACGTCACAGCAGTGGGATGGGACACGCTTGGGCGCATGCTGTGTGGTCCACTGGGCCCAGGCTTTCGGATGTTTTCTGTGGTCCTCCTGTGTCTGCTCTGATATTTGGTCGGCTTGCTTTATCATAGAGATGTGTAAAACCTCCCGCAAGTGTGGCTTTGCATATTTCTCCACGTATTCTCATCACCTTTGTTTTACAAATGCTGAGGCTATTACGTACATACAGATTTGCAATTGTTCTACATTGTCATGTTTAAAGTGTCCATCTTCATCTCTAACCATGCTTTTGCTTTAAGGGTCTTTTTTTTTTTTTGAGAGGGCATCTCATATTTATTGATCAAATGGTTGTTAACAACAATAAAATTCTGTATAGGGTACTCAATGCTCAATGTACAATCATTAATCCACTCCAAGCCTAATTCTCGTCAGTCTCCGATCTTCTGAAGCATAACGAACAAGTTCTTACACAGTGAATAAGTTCTTACATGGTGAACAGTACAAGGGCAGTCATCACAGAAACTTTCAGTTTTGATCACATATTATGAACTATAAACAATCAGGTCAAATATGAATATTCGTTTGATTTTTATACTTGATTTATATGTGAATCCCACATTTCTCCCTTCTTCTTCTTATTTTTAATAAAATGCTGAAGTGGTAGATAGATGCAAGATAAAGGTAGAAAACATAGTTTAGTGCTGTAAGAGAGCAAATTTAGATGATCAGGTGTGTGCCTGTAGACTAAGTGTTAATTAAGGGTCTTTTTTTTACAGAAAGTACCGCCACACATTAGCTTCTGGTTAGAGTTTGCATCATGTACCTTTTCCTATCTTCTGTCTATAAAGGCAGAAAGTTTGAAACATCTGTTTTATAAAGTACATATAACAGGATTTTAAAACCTTTCATCTAAGAAGATTAGAGCATGTAATCCATGTAACTCATTTACTTGGGTCTAAATCTACCAAATTACTAAATGCTTTCTAGTTGTCACACCTTTTTATTTCCTTTATTTTTGTTTGGATTCTCATTTATTAGGCTGGTTTTCCTCCCACTTGGGCATACTTACACTCTGCCAAGTCTCACGCTGGCTGGCTGATGAGGCCCCTCCCCACTCCCCTGACTTACAGGCTCCTGTAGGCCTGTAGTTTGGTTCTCTGTTTCCCTACTCCACAAGACATTATCATTGTTTGACAGTCACAATTCACTTAGGTTTATCCATACAACTACCACTTTGCTCTATGGTTTTTGTTTTTATACATATGTTCCTTTCCACACCAGTGTTTTTTGTAAACATGACTTAGTTGTTCTGCTGTTTACTCCTGAACACAGTGTTAACAACTCCTGGCCCAGACTGTTGTCTCTTTAAGGGGCCAGCATGCTCCTCCTGCCGTGAACTCTGGAGGAGCACCTGACTGTGTGAGGCCAAGTCTACCCATGGCTCCTGCTGCCTGCTTGGATGAGAGTCCTGAAGACTAGTCTTCACCTGCTCCCACCTGCTTCTAAGATCACACCCTCACTCTTGCTGCCACACTTCACCTACACTCTCTATTTACACGTAGCTACTTTCCATGGCACACAGGTTTTATTAAAAATGTGCTGTTGTACCTGGATTGTCTTTCCCCATTCCTATATGTGGACAGTTGCTCCCAGTCCTCCCAGACTCAGCCACATGAATGCTTTCCACACGCACACAGTGGTTTTTTGACCTGTGACCACTCTGGTACTCCCTGAGGGTGCGGATGGCCTTCATCACGCTGGTGTCCCCACTTCCAAGCCCACTAGGAGAGCAGAACCTAAACTGAGTCCCTTCAAAATGCGGTAAGAATTCATCATGCTTTTCCTTTACTCTGTTTAAATCAGTCTTAAACACCAGAGAAGTAGGTACATGATTAATGTTGGTCCTGAGAGGCAATTCTATTTTACATGCTTTATGGAAAAATAGTAACCAACACATGTCTAACTTAATTTTGTTCCCAGGAAATTAACTAAAGCATCAGCAGATACTAGCTCCCTTCGAAACCTTGTGCCTGAACAGTGCAGAATAAACTAGCTTTGTAAGGAAACTTGAATGTTACAGTGTGACTTTTAAAGACTTTCTCCTTTGCTTGGCAAAGTGGTGGTGAGTCTTTCTCTTAGCAGAATCATTAGCAATACAAAATGATTACCCTTCTATTAAGTTCAGACTCTCAGGCAGGTGTCTGTAATCTTTTCAGCTGGAAACTTGAATAATGGTTTTAACATGTCAACAACCAATCTGGCAACTATAAATATTTCATTGGCGTTTAGGATAGCTGTTTATCCAGTTTGCATGGCCATAAATAGCTACCACTCATCACATCACTGGGTCTCTGGACGGCTCTCCTCAGCTAGTGCTTTAGCGCAGTAGTGCTGGCCTGGCTCTGCACCACAGGCTGCCTGCCCTCAGGGACTCACACACTCTCCTGCTCCCACCTTCCAGACCTTGGGCATTACTGATCCTGAGAAAGTTTAGAACTTTTTCTATGGTTCTTTTAACTTACTTTTCTGAGGTTTTAAAAGGCTAAGAGACAGTGGTGAATTTCAAATGCGAAAATGAAATTGAAAGTGTTTGTCCAGATAAACTGCACTATGAAATGAAAGGTTTTATTTGCAACTTATACAACTTCATGAAAACATACACTGTTCAGAATCTGACACAGGCTAAGTGAAACATCTATCATCTGGAAAATACTGGTAGTATTCCCCACCTTAAAATGATTCAAGCATCATTATATGAACTAATTTTGATAAAATGCTTAAGATGACAGTTTGAAAAAAGAAAAATTAAAGTAATTTAAACATTTTAGTAAATACGCAGATGTATTTTATTGTCGAGACTAAATGTGTTTTACTTAGAATATTCATGTACAAAAAATGAAAAACTAAACACCTATGGCTGTTAAGAAAAAGTTAGAAACCATTAAATTGCTCTGAGAACACCACTAAGGCACTGAAACCAAATACCCTTAAGATCTGAATATCTAAATTCTTATATCTTTAATATTCAGATGTTCATTGTTATTTCTCAAGAAATAGTGTTAATAAGATGACTCAACCTTATTATTTTTTCCCTGGAAGACAGTTTTAAACAATAAGTATGCAATACATCCAATGAAAACAGTATGGTAATACCCAGGTTCCAAGTCACTTACCCTTAGAAAAAGGGTTTAAATGCCTGGATGTTTTTACTTTTAAAACATACTTTGTTTCATCACAACAACAATACACGAGCCACAGTAAGGCATACTGAAGCATGGAAGGCCATCATGTTATATAATGTGATAAAAAAGGTTAGGATCATGTTACCAACTGGATAACTATGTCAAGAATTAAAAGTTCTATAAAACTACTGAGAGGTTAGAGTTTCAGGTACCTAATAAAAACATATCCCCAAAATACTACTGTTTGTGTGTACCCCCAAAAATGGTTCATCTTGGATATAAATGCAATCAGGTAACCATCCTGAGTGAGTTCTGTGTTTTCCACAGCGCCGACACTTTGAGCTACTGTGCATTGCATGTGACCATAACTGGGCAGCAGGAGAGACGATCCAGATTCACTGCAAACCAGCAACGTCGGCCCTTCAACAGCAGTGACAATATACCTGATTATCAGCCACTCTGGCCTTTGTATTGACCTGATACTTAAATGTCAGTAACTGTAGCCATTTGCCACGTACTGAATAAGTGATACAGCAAATAAAAACAGAAGAAAATCAAAGCATACTTCTAACATTTTAATGACTTTTGGTCGTGATGACCTTCTGTGATCTGGAACCTTAGTTTTATATAAAACCGGAGCTGGAAAGAGAACAAAAAACTTTTGATTGGTACAATGAAAAAAACATTTAGGAAATAAAAATTGTTAGAATCATTAGTTTTACAAAGGTTTGTACAGAAAGAGCTAACATACTATACTAAAGGATATCTAGCTGTAGGATTTTGGAGATATAAGAAATAAAAACAAACACCAAACACTACTTTCTTAAGAATTCTTTTGACCTCTCAAAAAACTACAGTCTAGGCCCTGGTTTTGTCAACAATAGCACATACTAATGGTTCACAAGTGGAACAGAGTGACAGTTTTTACAAGGGATATGTAAACTGTCTTTCACGTATGTTATAAAATTGGGAAATCCAGTTTACTAACACTGGATTAGGATGAAAGAATAAGAAGGTACTGAGCTTTCTAATTTAAAGCATACTGAAAAGTACACGAGCAAACAAAACAAAGACCCATGCCCTCTAGAGCTTATGTTACAAGATCACACATGAGGACTCCTTTCTTCCCACAAAACTATAAAATCCACCCAAACCTGTGAGTTTACTTCCCCAGAGGTCAAAATTGGTACATCATGGACCAGTGTTCAGTTCTCCTAACCATTCTGAAGTTGAATTACTGAAGTCTGAAATTGCTGGGGTTGAAGTAAGACGTGGGGATAAAATGTAACCAGCAGTACTGCTCTGTGCAGCACGTAGGGGGACCTGCGCTGCCCGGGCTGGGGGAGGGGGACCTGCGCTGCCTGGGCTGGGGGTTGGGGCCCGCGCCCCAGGGTCTGGGGGATAGCAGAGGCTGAAGCACAGACCACGGAGGAACACTCTCAGCAGAGCTGGCCAGTGATGACTTTCAGGAACAAATAAGCAAACTGACAAGGACATCTTAGGTGGAAGAAACAAAAGAAGGGCACAAAGTACAGAAGAGGAAAGAGCTCATATTCTGGTTTGGTGACTTCGGTTTTGACACATACCCCGCACCTATAAGCCTTGTGATTAGCCCCGCGCTACTCGTGCTGCCCCGCCTCACCGGGGCCCTCTCTACCTTCCTCCCCATCTGTATGTCCACCACTGGTTTCACAAGCTCTGACATCAAAGCACAGGAGCTCGAATCGATAGCCTGGTTCCCTTACTGAAATAAAAATTCTCATAAAATCACTATCAGTAGAATTTGGTTAAATATAGTTTTTTTTTCAAGTTTTATTTTACATCTTATGATCTGCCTATAAAGTGTACAGCTTCCTTTTAGACATAACTAATGATAGATCAGGAGTAACAGACGTGTACAAAGCCCCAGGCTGGCCTCGGAAATCACACCATGAACTTCCCCAAGGTGACTGACCCTTTCTACACTGATTTTTTTCGTTAACTTTGTTCACTCTTTCACTCACTCATTGTGGCACCTAATGATTTACTGGTCCCCTAACATGTGCCCGGTGCTGAGGTAAGAAGCTGGGGAAGTGGCCGTGAGCCGGAGGGACAGGTGTGCTCTCAAGCTGCTGACATGGTAGCTGCAGAAGCAGACAAGGAATGAGGGAACAGACAGTGAGCAGGTGCTACGAGACCCGACAGGGCAAGGAGACAGCAAGTGACGGAGGAGGGCTGCCAGGGACCAGGGCTACGTGAGGTGGCTTACTTCTTGCGGTCCTTGTCCTTCAGGTTGCCACCTGACACTGTGTAAGTCTGACTCTGGTATATCTCAGACGTAGCTTTCTTTTTAGAGAAAGCGATGATTTCTTCTTCCAAAAGTCTTCTCTTTTCTTCAAGCTTCATTCTCTCTTCTTGGTGAATTCTCTTAAGATGCTCGAATTTGGCCTGTAGCTGCGACAAAGGTGCAATTCCCAGGAGTGACACAAGGTGGCAGCACACGCCCAGGAATGTTCTCTGGCCCAAACCTGCGGCTAATGCTTATCGGGAGGGATCTACTTACTGGCTCTGCCTGACATCTCACAAGTTCATACTTAAAAGTAAAACCTTACGCAGGGAATTGCCTTTGTAGCTTTAATTTTAAATGCATTCCCATGAAAAAAATGCATGCATGGAAATAATAAAATCAGAACCTCATGAACAATCCTCAGTTTTTAAAACATTTGGCTTCTTCTTGGAGTTTTTATTTTCTTGCTCCACATTTCCCCTACAAGCCTCTCCAAATGAAGTTTCTAAAATGCATGCTCAGTAAAAGCAAGGGACACAAATTAAAGAAGCAAGTTACGGAAAAGGAAAAAATTATTTTCAAAATGAAATTACCATGTGTAGTGAAAACAGTTGTTTAAAGTTAAACCTGTTTGGAAAGCAAGTGTCAAATGATCAATTTAAATCAAAAACCTTAAAAATCTATTACATTTTTACAGTCATTCACCTTCTTGAAATGTAAGATAAATCAAGAAATCCTAAGTTCAGAGGAAGTTTTATATATAAAAACACTCACTGTAGTATAATTTTCACAATGGGAAAAACTGTCTGTGTCTAATAAAGCCAAAAACTAAATTTATGTTAAATGTATTCAAGGCAACCATTAAAAAGAGGTTTGCAAAAGTTTGTAGTGTTACAAGAGCACTCCCCGGTTTAATTACTGTTCACCTGAAAAGAGAGACTAGGGAATGCAGCAAACCCTGTGTGCGTCGGCCATGAGCACAAGTCCCACATCTGGATCTGGACCAGAAAGGAGAACCTTCTTGATCCCCTGGTTTGCTTAGATGAACTTAAATTAGTATTTTCAGTTCTGGGAGGACACCTAGCATTCATACAAAAAGGAGGACTTATTTTCTATAAGAGATGGTAAAGGATAGTTGAGGAAATACTTTGCCAAAAATCAGAGGCTGAGGGTAGAAACTGGAGAGAGCTAAACTCCATCTTAGTATGATTTAAATGTCCCAAATACGGGACAGGTTGACCAGTGAGTCAGTAAACCCCTGACAGGACAAGTATTTAAGCAGAGACAGGACAGGGTTGGGAGAGATTAAGTGAAGCCCTTCTACCTAAGATTCCTTTATTTCTGAGGATGCCATTTCAGAGAAGGACAAGGTCCCTGGTATATGCTTATTTACATGGTTCCTGCTTTTATAAAATGTGTGTGTGTGTGTGTGTGTGTGTGTGTGGTGTATTTAAAGGGTGGGATTCATCATGTCATTCAAATCAGTGGTATAAATACAGTCACACTCTCTGAGCATGTGCACAGCCCCTATAAATTTGGGAGAGAAGCAAAGCAACTCACTAACTGGGAGAAAATAGTTACAAATGATCTATCTGATAAGGGGTTAATATCCAAAATATATAAAGAATGCATACAACTCAACACCAAAAGGCCAAATAATCTGATTTAAGAGGTGGGCAGAGGACCTGAACAAGTATTTTTCCACAGAAGATAATCTATTTATATATCTATCTATCTGTATATCTATATCTATCTTTCTCTTTCTCTAAGAGAGATGGCCAACAGACACACAAATAGATGCTCAATGTCACTCAAGATCAGGGAAATGCATATCAAAATCACAATGAGACATCACCTCACACCTGACAGAATGGCCAGTACTGAAAGACAAGCGGGTTGGTGAGGACGTGGAGAAAAGGGAGTCCTCTGACACTAATGGTGTGAATGTAAACTGGTGCTGTGGAAAGCAGCGTGGAGGTTCCTCAAAAAATTAAAAGTAGAACTACCATACGACCCAGCAACCCCACTTCTGGGACTCCACCTGAGGAAAACAGAACCACTAATCTGAAAAGGTGTATGCACCCCCATCTTCACAGAAGCATTATCTACAAAAGTCAAGATATGGAAACAACCTAAGTGTCCATCAGTAGATGAGTAGATAAAGAAAAGGCGGTACACAGTGGAATATTATTCACATAAAAAGAAAGAAATTCTGCCATTTGCAACAACATGGATGGAGCTAGAGGGTATTATGATCAGTGAAATAGGTCAGACAGATGGAGACAAATACCCTAAGATTTCACTTACATGTGGAACCTAAAAACAAAGGAACAAACCAAAGAAGAGAAATAAACTAAAAAAAAAAAAACAGAGAACAGAGTAGTGGTAGGGAGATAAGCAAAATAGGTGAAGGGAATAAAGAGGTACAAGCCTCCATTTGTAAAGTAAGTCATGGAAATGAAAAATACAGCATAAAACATATAGTCAATAACAACATAGGAATTTTGTACGGTGACAGACAGTAACTACACATACTGTGGTGAGCATTTGGTAGTATATATAATCGTTGAATCACTATGCTGTACACTGGAAACTACAATATTGTACATCAACTACATATACTTATAAATAAATCAGTAAGATCCTGTCCCAAAATATAGTCACATTCAGAGGTAGTGGGGATTAGGACTTCAACATATGAACTTTGGGGGACTATAACTCAGCCCATTACAGTAGTTTTCACCAAAAGTATTCGTTAAACTCTAAACATTCACATGTTTAAAAAAAATGGAAGAGAAGCAGAGTGGAGGTAAAGCCTGGAAAGGGAGGGTACAGGGCAGATTACATTACATGAATAGAGATGTATCTCTGTTACTCAAATGGAGGTTATGTACTTTATATGCACACTTAAATATCCTGACAGGTTATAGGGTATTTTGTACGTCACTGACTAAAAATCCCAGGGAAACTATAGAAAGAGAAATGTGATTTAGAAAGGGGGAGAGGGGAGGTGTGAATGTGACTATCATCCACATTTGCGGAGTCAAGGCTTTTGAGGGTAACAATCTATTCCACACACATGCAGCCCTTACCTGTGGTTCCATGATTTGTAACCATGGGTTTAATTCAAATGTATTTCCAAATACTCAAAAAGGCAAAGGCAAGAGGCCTTTTGTGCTGTTGGTAACTACTCAACATGCCCCTAAAACTGTACCACCAGTATGGGTGCTGCTGCACCTTTTATAAACATTCCTAAGATTATTATACATTCTGCTATTCGATGATCCTTTTAAAAGTACCCATTTTTAGAGAAGAAAGCTAGAGACAGAATTCCTCTCTTTGTTGGACTCTTTCATCTGAGCTCTGCCCGCACAGCTGGGGCCCTTCCAGCCCTGACTGCCAGGCTCTCAGCGGCAGCTGTGTGCCGCCTTCACACACTCTCTGATGAGGTTCCTGCACGCTCCTGCTCAGGATCATAAGGTAGCTGTAGGCCTTTTTTTAATGAAAATTATCTAAATACCTTTGAAAATAGGAGAGGCATACATATTAAATGAAAAATGAACCAAGAAAAGACTTACATATAAAATTGGGAAGTAGTATTTTAACGATGGTTATGTACTATTTATTTGAGGGATAACTGTAAACTGTGTGCTTTTTCCTGTGGTGTGGGAAATAAATGTGACATACATAGCATGCCTCATAGATACATCTAGAATTATGTTAATAAAGATGTAGCAAAGGTCACATTTAAACAGTATTTCAAGCTCACATCTGTTTTGGGTACCCTCCCTAAACTAGTTATCCAAGGTTCACAGTGTTTTCAGTAGCAGTATATGAAAGTCCCAATTTATACTGAAGATAAATTGAGTTGTTTTACAACAATACTGGCAGGGTATGTTGAGTAACAAGGGCCTGAAATACAGCATCAAATAATGCTTTGAGTTATCAGAAATGATCTTTTTATTAGTGACTACCAGTACCTCAATGATATAACTAGATTTAAAATGTCAGCAGCCAAGTATTGGGTGACAAAATGTCCTCATTTGCTCAGGAGAGACCTGATTTACACTTACACATTCCAGCATAAGTATTAATAAGCCTCCTTTCCCTCTAAAACCACAATCATCAAGACAATGAGTTGTACGGTCCTCCATATTATCAGTCCTTCAGCTGATGAGTTTTGGCCTCAGGGAGTGATGATTATTGACTGGATGTCCTTCACAACTGACCGACTCTAAAGTATCAGAGGTACTGGCTTTACAGTACGGAAACTGGGTGTGAAGTCCTCATAGTGTGAATAAAACAGGCCCTAAGCTATTTAATTCCAGGCTTAGAACAGCTTTGGTGCTGGTGCCTCAGGTTTAAATTAACTTCGTCGTTAGGTTAATACATACACATAACTCAAAGATCTTGGGCTGTAAAAATAAAAATGTACGAAGTACACTATCAAATAGTATTTCTTTCTTTCAACCACTTGGTCACTCTGAATTTTCAATTTCCTTTTAAGTAAGACACATTTAAGCAAAATATTCTTATGTGGGATTAAAAAAATTGAGAACTAGACTATAAACTGTTCCTATACCTTCTCTCCACATTGGAGAAACTAAGAATCATGTGATATGAGAGATAAGCTCTTAAGAGTTTTGTTCCACCTCCACCTTAAAGATGAATCTACTAAAGAAATATCAGCATCCTTGTCTCCCACTCATCACAGCCCCTTCCTCAGTATTTATGCTTAAAAATAACTGCAAACTTGGGACTATTCTCGAATAAAAGAGAAGACAAACAACACCCACATGCAATGAGACCCGTGACTGAATTCTGGTTCAAAAACAAACCAAAATATTCATCAAACAAAAAGAAACAAGGGAAGACCACTGTGGAGCAAGAGGGAGGTGTGAATGTGAGCTGCAGATGGGTGGTGTGTGGCACTCCTGTGCATTCCCCCAGGTGTGAGGTGGGTGCTCCAGCTGAGGAGGAGACACCCCTGAGCTTGCAAGATGCACAGTGAAGCGCCAGGATAAAAGAGCCATGATGCCTATAGCAAGCTTCCAGGCACACCCAGGCACACCCAGTCGCACCCAGCCACACCCACAAAACAAAGGGCAAAACGTCCAGCTAAAGTAGGTGTGGGGAGGGACACAGGGACCCTGTACTTCCACTTTCCTGTTGTTTGAACTTTTGCAAAATAAAAGATCAATAATGCATCATATATTTCAGTAGGTTAATTTAACAAACCCACTTCCTGCTGGATTCGTTCAGATAGCAAGGACTGAAGTGCACCTGAAGAAACAAACCTGTAGAGCTCACACGACTTTCCAGGAACTCTGTGCTTCACAGAGTTTGTCAGAGCTGACGTTTCTGATTTCTCTCAGAGGCTCCCTTTGGGGCTAATCTTTTTGGGTCCTCATCTTAAGTGTGCCCATTTACTTAAAAGGAGCCACTGCAGTCAGGTCTATAGGTCTATAGAAAATAGCTTACCTCAAATAAAAGTAGAGCTGTTGTTTGAAAAACTAGAATCGAACAAAATCATGGAAATCTGCTGGTGGTTTGTTTGGGCACCAAGGTTGTCAAAGGCCCTCTGCCACTAACTCTTCGGGAAGGCCTGAGCTAAACTCAAAAGGCTGCTGAACAGACCTCAGAGTCACTGTTTCATGGGAGCAAAGTCACAAGAACTCTCAGAAACTCTCCTAAAAGGCTCCCTCAAGCCATAGCTACATTTTGGGCTCATGGTTAAGACACTTAAAGCACTTCTCAGTGACCTGCTCCATTACAAGTCCTTATGAGGGAGGGCAGGGACAGGGGACCACATCATGATGAACGTTTCCTGCCTAGGATGGAAAATGCCAAGAAACAGACAGCATAGTAAGAACAGGAGGAACTCCATGTTAAGGCTAAGATGTCTTAAGGCTAGGAGGTAAGATTCCTAACATATTCTTTGATATGCAGCCAACAATCTGTCTTAATCTAGGGCGAGCAGTCCTCAGTGAGATGTTCCCAGGGCTTGAGGGTAACCATATCTTGGAGAACAGGATCAATAAGTTCCTTGTGTGTAGTTTATCTTACAGAGTATCTAGAGGACTGACTATGGATGGTAACACTGTCTCTCACCAGAGACATCATGAGACCACATGTCAAACCTCCACACCCCACTTCCACCTTTGCCCCTTCTTGAAAGCCTTAAAAGACAGAATCCTAAGCCCTTAAGAGCGCCTCCTCTCTGAGGTTGCCTACACTCCCCTTTCTTCGAGTGTGTACTCTGCCTTAAATAAAGCCTTCTCACTATGCAACTTACCTGCATTTTGTTTCTGAGCTCTTCCAGTGTTAAATGTCTTTATTACTTCACTATTTCATTCCATTTTCTAAACTTAAGCACAAATCTTCAGTCTCTCTGTCCTACTTCAGACAAGTTGGGAGGGGCTCCTGAGAGCTCTGATTCGGGCTTGCAAGCTCTTGTTGCCTGGAGAACCTGGGCCGACTGCAACTGCCCAGTCATGCTCTCTAGCAGCCTGCCTCTAAATCTCCTTTGCCTTTGGGATGTTCTCAGAACACAATCTCACTCCAACCAGTGCTCTGCAGCTCTCCCGAATCCCAGGGTGTTAGGGGCCTAGTTCCCACACTGTGCAGATCTGACTGGACACTGGACACCAGGTGACCCTGGTTCAGGAGCTGTGCAGGGATCTGCCCTGTGCTGAGCAGGAGTTCAGTGAGCCTCCCTCTCCTCCCTCTGCTCTCTGCCGCCTGCACAGCTGCTGCCATTTGCGGCTACTCTCACTTTAATGAATTCCTTCCTTACCTGCACTTGTTCGACCTGCTCGAGAATTCTTTCTCGTCCAGAATCAAGAGCACCCTGCCATCCAGGCTGAGGGGTCACCTGGTGTGCAGGGAGAGAACCCCCACCCCAGACGAGGCTGCAAGGCAACACTTGGCAAACCCTTTCTAATGGAAGACTACCTGTTCAAAAAGACCAAATTTTTTAGTTGATTTCAGACTGTAATGTCTGTGTCCAAAGACTGTGTGTTAAAATAGCTATTTTTTTAAAAAAAACAAGTAGTCTCCAAAGGCATCTAATTAAATTCTCAAGACAAATCCCCCAAATTAACAGGATACCTAAAAGGCAAGTGCAGATCACAACACGTCAGCGTACTTGCCTCTCTCTCAGCTTCTCTCAATATGGCCTCTTTCTCCTTCACTCGCTGGACAAACATCTGCTTCATCTCCTCCTCCTTCCGCTGACGTTCTCCTTGAAATTCATGTCTTTTGGCTTGGTAGGTCTCTTGAAGACTGAGAAGTTATTTGGGTACTCATGTTAGAAAAGATGATGTAACAAGCTTGTAAGAACACAAACACCTGGGGTTAAGCCTCAGGATGATAGTAATGTGCACCACACGTCATGCAGAGGAATCCGGACCATGGAGCCTCCTGCAGTCCGAGACTAACAGCCCGAGACAAACAGCCAGCCGTGCGACGGCTCCCAGACAGGACTAGAGTTCTAAGCCGTGCTTCCACGGCCTTCAGGAGTGCTCTCACCTCACCGCAACGGTGCTCTCTCAGCCCTTGCTAACTGGCAGCACTGTGCCCAGGGGCCAGGAAGTCATCTCTGACTCTCCCCTTTCTCTGATCTCCACAGCCGACCACCAAGGGCTGTGAGTACAGCCTGGGACTCGGACATCTTTTGATTCCTACATACCCCCTGCTCCAGCCCCGTTGGATCTTTGTGGCGTTCGGCCTTCACCACTGCAGTAGTCTAATCGGTCTGGGCTTCTAGCTTCTCTTTCACTTTGCTCTTCTTGCCACTCCTCAGATTTTAAAAACACATATCTCACCCTCTTTTTTCTCTGCATTACAGTTATTATGGCATCTGCAGAACAAGGTCCCATCTCCTTAAAACAGCCCTTCAGAAACTTCGTGAACTGGCCGAATTCTCCCTTTCCAGTTTCATTTCTTACCACCCAAATCCAGTCCCTCTAGGGTTCCAGCCACACCCACTTACCCACTGTTCCTACGCAAGCCTCACATCTCACGCTTTACTTTGTTATGCCTTGGGCTTCCAATACCACGGCTCGCTTCCCACCCCCCCGTTACCCAGCTGATCTTCCATCCCTCAATGCCAAGTTCACACGCAGCTTCCTCCAGAAAGCCTTCTATGGTATCCCTGGCTGAAACTAACTGCTCCTCCTGTGCATGTTCAAGGCACTTTGTTTATACCTCTGCTTTGGTGTCTACATCCCACCTGCCCTCTCTCCTAACATATAACCATCTTTGTGACCTGACTATGCAGCAGGCATTCTACTTTTTACCAGGTTTTTTGTTTTTCTGTTTGGCCTCTAAATCTGTCAGGTTACTTTCTCCATTTTCAGAAACCTCTGATCCTACACTGGATTCAGTCTTTAAGTCTTTAATGACAAACTTGGTTTAAATAATGTCTTGAGTTCATATTATATGTAAGTTTTAAAAAGTTCTCATTTAGTCTATTTATACAAGCACATGAGTTGCTTAGGAGGGAAATAAATGTATGTGGCAAACAGTAAAAAGACCTAACATCTGTGGATACCTGCTACTGGCAGATGCTCTGCTGGACCCCTTCCACTATCTAACTGCCATAGCAACCGAGTGACATGCATTGACACTGTTTTACAGGTAGGAAACAATCTCAGGAAGGTGGTCTGCCTAAAGTAACACAGTTGGTAACAAAAGGCTGGGATTTGGGCAGATCAGACTGGCCCCACAGCCCACCTTCCTGACTGCCATAAACACGACGGCCCCAGTGATGTTCCAGCAGCAGACCATAAAGTGATACTCTGCTCCTGCCTGTTTTCCACTGCATCGCACCGCATTCCAACTCTGGCAACATAAATTTACAAAGCCCACAGCGAGAAAAGAAACCCACACATCTCTCAAAAAGTGGTGAAGAAACATTTCAAAGAATTGGAAAGGAATGGTTTACAGAGTTAGCATTGTAAAACTAATGCAGCCATTGTTTTCTATCATGGGTTTATTTGTTAAATAAAATGAAACAGCTCTCTTGCCATACTCCTCCCTTTTCTAGTGTAGAAGTAGCTTGCTCTGGTGAGTACTTAATGCAACATACTAATATAGTTGCAAATATAGAACTAATTTAAGGCAAAACTGAAAACCAAAGAGGAAGAAAAAAATTCTCACATGCTCATGTTCGTCAAGAAATCACCACAGGCCCTTCATGTACAGTTCTAACAAGACTGGTGAATGTTTCCACTTCTACTGTAGACCAAATGCAGCAAGTTAACTATTTCCTGAGAGTTCCAAAGACACAATGTAATGACACAAAAAATCACGTCAAACACTTAAGTAATTCTAAAAGACAAAAACCCTTTCAAAACTATAGGTCCCACAGCACCTGCAATGACTGAATTTGTAGCTGAACGTTAAAGGTGATTAACCATGGGAATGGGACTGGTTACACCAATCTAAGATAACCTGGGGATTTAAGAAGGTTAAAAAAGCATGTTTCATATATTTTAAACAACTGAAAATCAGGTCATTAAGATCAGAAATGTGTGATGCCATTTATTTGGACCTCTTGATAAGCACATAGTCAGTGCTGGTGGGCCTGGATGCTATGACTCAGTAGAGCCGTTCAGTAAAATAAATGTATGGAAAACAGGCTGGAGGTCTGGCAACGCAGAGGGCCAGGAAACAAAGGGGAACAAAGGTCACACTAACAGGTCATGTGACTACCTTTTCATTGATATACATGATATTGAGGGGCAGGTTTTACATGCTGACCAAACTATGGTGACTACTGTCATGTACACACCAAATTAAATGGGAGAGACTCCCTATAACATAAAATGTTTATCTTGAATCTATAAAGGTAAAACCTTCATAAGACATCGGGCTACAGTGAGCTATAGAAGCTTTATCAAATAACTCACAGAAGAATTACCAAGAGAAGAGATGCCCTGCAGTGCCTGATCCAGAAACCCCGCCAGATGAGCCTTCCCACCTCAGGACAGCGGGCCTCGCACTGACACCCACTTCCCCCGCTGCTTGTCCTCTGCATGCATCCCGCAGCCCCTGCTCCCTCCCCAGTCAGCAACCTGGCCTAAACTGAAGAACCCTCCTCTTCCAGTTTTCCATTCTTCACTGAAGTGAGCAGATGCTTCCCAAACTGAAGAAATGCTCAAAACATGGATGTTCTGGGAAATCTTCTATTCTGACCTACTTCCTTGGAGTCTGTCTACTTCCTTTTGATACTATTATCCTGATTCTCTCCTTCATGGGATACACTCTGACAGGGCAATTACTTCAGTTCATGGCCACCCCTAGCCAGGACATGGGTGCATGTCCTAAAATGGGACTCCTGGGCTAGAAATTGTTGATTGGTTTCAGTTCATTCATTCCACTGCCAGCACTAGAGTAAAACTGGTTTCTACCTACTCTAAGCCTTCCCTCTGAACTCTTAAGTCCTGGCCTATGCGGTCTCCCAGCCACGGCTTTTTTTGTTTTAGAGGGAGTGGCCTTCATTACTTTCAAAGAAGCACCTGGTTTGTACTGCACTGAGTGCTTCTACAGCGAACACCAATGCTCAACTCCACTAATGGTGACCTCTCCTTTTGTGAAACCTTCCTTGGCATCTAAGATGTGATACTGATGCTGGGGTTCTGTTCATGGAGTTGAAGAGTGAACTTCACAAACACTAAAAGTGGGAGAGTAAGTGTGAAGCTTTTATTTAGAGATAAAGTGAGAGGACAGAGCTCCTGGCTCATGAGGAGGGAACAGGAGAGTCCTTGGTGGTGCACTGTTTAGGGGATTTATAGGTGCCTGAGAGACAAAGGGCTAGGGATGCAGGTCTGCTAAATGGTCCCCAAATGCTTACCTTTGAAGAGACATTAAGTTTCTTATCAGTCTTCCAGATTATTTTGCAGAGTTAATACAAGAAATTTACTGCTCTGATTCTTTCCCAGGATAACAGCCTCTTGATCTGGGAGCATATCAATCAGGACTACGTGTCCTGCTCCCAAGGTGGGCTGAGTTATTGTCTGTTGTGTTAAGAAACCTATTTTTTTACTTCTTGGGTTTTAAAATGCAATCTTATCTTTAAGATGGAGTTTTTTCTGTTTTTACTATGTTGTTTATGACTGGGCTCGCTTGCCATATTAATTGCCCAGATTGTAAATTAATTGATTTAGGGCTGAAGGAGGGAAAAACAGCATCTGGGTAAAGTTAAAGAAAATAAGCTGGGCCTTTTAGCAGGTTAAAATAAATTTTACAATAGCATGATTTAATTGACAAAAATGAAGACATGGGCTATGCTGACCTCATTTTCTTGTCTGGCTATATTCAAACATTCTAGGCCAAGTTACTGCTGGCTTTTTAGTTTTAACTAATCTCACTGAAGAATGCTTATATTTCTAGTTTGCTATTTTACTTTAGAGAATTAAAATAAATTGACTTTGCTTAATTGTTTAATACAGAGTTTCGGTAGGGGTCTTTTTCAGGAGACCCTCACCATACTGTCTAAACCCACGGTCCCTGTCTCAACACTCCCAGTTTTCCTCTTTTCACTGCTCAAAACTTTTCTGTCTCTTCTACCTGCTTCTCCTGCTGACAAATATTAGAAAGGCTCAAGGCTGCTTCCAAGGCACTATTCTTTCCAGATGTACTTCTCTCTCCAGGTGATCTCATTAATACTAATTATGTTTAATTAACCACCTAAATGCCTGACTCTTAAGATTATTCCATTGGCCCGGCCCTCTTCCCTGAACTCCAGATATGTACCCAAAATGCCTATGCACCCTGATACTTTAATGTTTCAGATGAAACTCAAAGTCAACAGGATCCACACTGAGCTTATGATCCCCATTATACCATGGCTGCTGCCCCCACAAAAGCTCGTCCCTTTCAGAGATACCTGTCTTGATGAGAGGTACAACCATGCACGTAGCCAGTGAACCCATAAATCCAGGAGACAGGAAGTCTTCTAGCATCTTTTGTCATCGCCGGTTTCCGTTACCTCATCATATCCAAACAATTACTAAGTTCTTCCAAGTCCATCTTCTAGATCACTCTCAAACACATCCAGTTCTGTTTTTATAGCTATTACCTTAGTCTAGGCAATACTCACCTAAAATGGTCCCCCCCCAAGCATCTTTAATACCTTCTTTACTTTGCAGCTAAGAGTGACTTTTCAAATGCAGATGTAACACCACTCCTTCAGTTGCTCTGTCTTTGAAAAGGACTCAGACCAAAATCCTCAGTGGCCCCTAGGGTGTGACTCCTGCCTACCTTTCTCTCAATCCTTATGCCACCCACACTTGTCTGCTCTCCAGCTACTCATCTTCTTTGGGGCCTTGAAGACATCACTGTCCCTCTGTCTTGAGGGTCTCTGCATATGTCTTGCTGTTTTTCCCATGTTGTTATAGTTCAAAACAGTAAATGCCTCAAAGAAGTCTTCCCTAGTTTCCCAGATCAAATCAGCATACCCTCCCCCCAGTACACTCTCTCTCCTTCAGTGTGTGCATTTCACAATTGTAATTTATTCTGCAATTAGATGTTTGATTTCAACTCCACGAGAGCCAGGGCTATAAGACCTTATCAGTACTATATCCCCAGCTCTTTGTCCAGAGCCTGGCAAATAATAGGCACTTCAAACAGACTTAAGATTTTACACAGGAATATTCACTGTAGACTCCCAAATTATTATCTCAGCCTTAACTTCACTCTAAGCTCCACCATTTTCATTTATGCAGTAACTTATTCAAACTCTTCACCTGAATATTTAACTGGCAACTTAATTTTAACATGTCCAAACCTCTTAATTACCAACCACAACCCCTAAAATCTACCCCTTCCCAAAATGGCCCTTATTAATAAACATCACCACCATTCACCCAGTTTCTCAGGTCAAAAACTATGACTGAAATCATCCTGAGTCCTCCCTTTCCTTGACATCTCATATCTAAATCATCAATGAGTCCTAGTAACTCTTACCTTTAAAGAACCTAACTACATTATGCTCTGACCACTTCTACCACCATCCCCTATTCTAAGCCTGTCTTTTCATGCCTGGACCACTACAGCAGCCTCCTGACCTGGTCTCCCATTTCTACTTTTGATCCCCCCAACACCTAGTCTCTACACAGGGCCAGAGTGTGCCTTCCTCCCACCTTCACCCCCAAAACTCTACAAGACAAGGTCTTTGCTTAACCCCACAATGCCTGTAGACCTGGTGACTAGCATCTGCTGAATGACTGAGTGAGGATTTTAACTTAAATGCAGGTCCTGAGGTTCCATCCTGGAATTCTGAACCCGCACCTCTCCATCATTCACAGGGGACTGCTGGTTGACACAAGAGGCAGCCTGACCCTGCTTCTTGCAGCGTGTCAAGACTGGCCCGCTTGCTCTCACCCAGGGCTGTGTCATGTAATACATATGACTGACTCTCAGACTTGTGTTAGGAAGAAAAATAGACATGAGTGGGGTGGAGAAAGAATAAAGCCAGTAAAGCCCACCAACAGGGACTCAAAGAGTTAACCAGGTAAAACCAGAGAGCCAGAAAGGACTCACAGAGTTAATGAGTTAATTAGTTGAAGTTCCAAAGGCCAGGAGGGACTTAAGAGTGTCCAGATATTCCTCAAATAAAGAAAAGTATCCAAGAGCCGCCTGTGTCTTCACTGCCTTATCAATTAGATCATGCCATTGTAAAATCTACTTGGCCAGCTTATTCTGTAACTTAATCTATATGCTGTTTCTTCTCTTCTCCCACACCTTAATCAAGTAACTTTGTAACAAGGGTAGGAGACAAATAAACCTATGTGGACAAAGAATGCTGAGATCCAGGCCAACAGTCACCTAAATAACCCTATTCTTTATATAAAACGTCAAAGGAATTATAAATTCCTTTATAATTCTTGTAATTCTATGAACCTGTACACATCATGCCTTATGCTGACTCTTACCCAGGAAGCCCTATAGAACTTCAGGCCCGGCACCCTTAAGCACACCTCCTCTCTGAGGTTGCCTGCACTCCCCTTTGTTTGAGTGTGTCACTCTGATCAGCAGAGAGGGGCAGCTGAGAGCTCTGACCTGGGGCTTTCAAGCTCCAGTTGCCTCGGTGACCACCACAGGACCCCAGCGGTCCGACTGTGCTCTCTAGCATCTGTCTGAAAACCTTCTTTCTCTGCCTTTGGTAAGTTCTCTGAACATCATCTCACTCCATCCAGGGCTCTGCGGCTCCCCCAAATCCTGGGGTGGCAGGGGCTTAGTTTTCAGGCCAGGCAGATCCAAGTGGACACTGGGAGCCACGTGACACAGGCTTTAAGAGTTGGCAAGGGATCTGCCCCACGCTGAGCAGTTGTTCTGTGAGCTTCCCTCTCCTCTCAGTTTTTCCTTCCCCTCTGCCTTATTCAAGTAAACCTGCTTTGTCCACCTTGACTCTGGCCTGCTCGTCCCTTGGAGTGCATTCAAGTAACACCTTAACTGTCTTCATTACTGTGTCTCTGCCCTTCAATTCTTTGCTGTGGAGGGGACAAGAACCAAGGAGAATAAACTCAAACCCCAACAGTTGGAATAATGAAGTGAAGTCTCCCTCTGGGAAACACTAGGGAAGCCAACTCAACAGAGACAATCATCATTTTATCAGAACTGTCCCATAACAGGAAGCACAGCATGTCTGAACTCGTGAGGAGGGTTAAGGACGTAATTCTTAATTTACTATGCTACCAGAACTGAAACACTAATTAAATCCACAGATGGAAAAAAATTAAACCTGTAACTTCATCTATCATTGCATCTTCCCAAGGGTCATATGTAATAGCAACATCCATTTAATGCCCCCTCCTCCTCATGTTTACTCTGGTGCAAATACTAGTGGCCAGGCAAAAGCCTGAAATGAACATAATCAAATGGAAAAGGAAGCCTTCATCTCATAACGGAGTCTCTAATAATGTTCGTCCTAAGGATCTCATGCTTTCCTCCACGCAAAAACTGTTCTGGAACACCACATCAAGTCAAATTTGATTTAGTTAGGGATTAGAGTTTTATGTTTACATATCTTAATAAAAGTCAGGAATATAGCAGCATATAAAATTAACAAGCAAATGTATAATAGTATTTAAAGTCAAATCACTGCATTCCTACAAGCACTTTCACTCTCCCTTTACAAGATACTTCCGTAAGCTTAAGGTACTCCAAAACTCACCTTCCAACTTCCTTTTTAATAATAGAAACATACTTTCATCCTTTTCATATAAATAAAAAACCAAAACCAAATGAGATTTTCCTTTAGTTATTCATTTGAGCATGTGCGTTAACAGTGGATTTTTGCCAAGTGATCTCCCTCCACTTTACTCCTTGGTTCGGAGGAGGAGTCAGAGACCCTCAAAGCAAGGACACCTGGGTAAGAGCAGCACGCCAGCTGCTCCTTTCACGCCCCTGCTCCGCCCTCTCGGACCCGTCCCTGGTGGGCACTCACCTGCGCGGCTGCTTCCCGGGGCCCACGTCAGCAAAGCCCATGGCGCCTAGCTTGCGGCGCCGGTACAGCTCGTAGTGGCGCATGTGCGTCTGCTCCCGCAGGTCCTCCAGGTTGGTGCAGAGGAGCATCTCACGCAGCTTCACAAAGTCGCAGTGCGCCTCATTCTCCACTGGGGGGAGACACGAAAACGGTGGCACATTTAATTCCTGACACAATCAGCGTTTGCGGAGCGAGCAGGGGAGAACAAATTTCACACATCAGCCGAAATAACAAACATGGTAAAGTGTGTCTGACTGCCAGCTGGTCACCACGGGGAAAATGGGCATCACACACTGAGTTAATTAACAGACCAGGCCTGTGCTTTCAAGTTAGTGGTCCTGGACAAAGAACTGGAAAGGAAACGCACTGTGTTGCCATATGCTTCAGCTACTTCACCAGTATTTTGTTGGCAGCTTACAAATTATCCTCAGGACATTTCACATAGTGCTTAAAAAGGTGTAACACCGTCTCACCCAAACCTCAAAGTAGTAAATTCTGCCTGCTTTTTACAGTGCTGCCTTTACGATCCTGCGTTATACACTACTCAAAATTAGTGAGTCATCTTAAACTTACATAGTCTCCCAATGTTTATGGCATCCAGAAGGCCAGAATGTGCTGTGACAAACACTGTTAATTATCGGTTTTATAGTTTTATACATTAAACATGTTTTGTCAATACTTTTCACTGACTACAAAACATAAAATTTTTAGAAAGCAGCAGTGGAACACTACCACTAGTAGGGATAATCCTTCCCTCTTGGTAGAACAAGCAAATGAACCAGAGAGTACTACTAATTTTAATGCTTGATAAATCCTAAAATATTTTAGTTGGCTGTTTATTTTGGAAATAGCTAGCAATACTTTAAGGCACAGAAATATATAAGTTTACAAGATGGTTTATTGTCCTAAAATTACCTAGTAATTAGTTTAAGTATTACATTTACACTCAAATTTTGTTCAAACTACCCAACCAATGCTTCACCCTTCTGAACATTCTAGCACACCTGGCTGGGGAGGCATGGTGATAGGATGTGGACCATAGGGTGGTTTTGCCCCACCTCTACACGCTTGGCTAAAACCAAATGCAGCCAACTCTTCTGACAACCCACCGCGATCCAAGGCAGGCCTCACCGGAGAGGGCGCACCCCATGCAGCTCCCAGCAATTCGCGGCTGCGTCCCAGTCACCATTCTCTCATTACCTTGAACAATACCCCAGGGGTACTGGCGAGCTTTGACCATCTTATTTCCAACTTTGACCTCATCCATACTTCCCACTACGGCAAAGGGCAAGTGTCCCTGGAAAGGAACCATTACATCGATCACATCTCTCACCAGTGTGTAAATGACCAACAAGAGAAGTTTTATGCAAATTACAGAATGAACACCTATTAAATAACAAATTTATTAAAAAACAGAATGACCTGCTAGGCTTCAGATTTTAAAACTTGGCAGTGAGTATGTGCCAACTATTCTGTAAGAGTCATTTTCAGGCCTAAAAAGGAAATTACTTATTGAGCATCCCCACATGCAAGGTATTGTGCTATAGGAATGGCTTAATATTTAATAACTGACATTTAGCCTCTTAATAATGTCTTTCTGAAAAATTACTCCAGGTGGTCTAAAGAAAAAATTAGATCTAAATACAATTGCACATAGGAATTACCCAACACTTCCTCTACATTAGTCAACATCACCATGATAGGCAGTCAATGAAGGCTCTACCCTCACAACCGTCCTTAACAAAGGTATGAATTCCCCAATTTTGTAGATAAGATAAAGTCTCAGAAAACCATATCATCAAGTCTGTCTGACTCCAAAACCTATTATCCTTCAAAAGATAACCAAATATTTCACAAATTGTGTAGCCTCAAGAAAGTAACACAAAGAACTCTGTTATCTTCAATTACATTAACCTAAAAGTTGTGTGAATATTTAATATGTATGTATGACACCGCAAGGGAGAATGAGCTTAAGTATCAGATTAGAAAGATCTCCTCAAAGGTTTTAAGATTCTAAAGCATTCCAAGGGAGGTTTCTATGTTTTTAAAGAGGATAAAATAGCCATCTTTCTAAGGCAGTATGTATGGTTCTACAAAAGGTGTATCTCCACCTCGCAAATGTACTTTATTTAGGTGAAAGTGGGAAGGAAAGAAATGCTCAAAAACATATTATACTTTTCCCAACTCTAGAAAATAAATATTTTCCTATACTGAGCTTTTTAAAAATTCTGTTTGCTTTAAATAAGTGTTTTTGAAGAAACAACTGAAAACATATTAGTAGCACTGTTACTTATAAATTATGTTTTTTCACATGTTAAACAGAATCAGTATTCAATTAGGAGCTCACATTCATTGCAGCATTGATTTTAGCAATACTTTCATCATCTGTTGGGAACTGGTATATCTGGACACCATTATTGACCAATTCACTCATGAGCTTGACCTTAAACTTCTGTAATTCAGTTTTAGAAATTGCATCAGCTTTGGCAATCACTGGTATAATGTTCACCTAGTAAGAATAAAGAAAAACAAAATCTCATAATTGAGGATTTATTTTTTAATCCTGTAGTTTCTGCTTTCAAATCCATTCAGTCTCTCACAAATTTTTTTAACCTGGGTTAGGAGGGGACGGTCAAACTATGGTCCAGTTCACTGCCTGTTTATATAAGCTGAGATCTGCTGGAACACAGCTGGCCCCATTCACTTACATACTGTCTACGGCCACTTTCATGCCACAGCAGCAGAGATGAGTGGTTACTCGAGACCACATGGCCTGGGAAGCCTTGCCGACTCCTGACTTAGATAAGCACTGGCTATCGTTCTTACGAGACACCTCTATACAATCATTCCTGCAGACGCTGCCTTGCAATAACTACTTTTAAAAAGGAGTTCTTACAGTATTTCCTCTGAATAGGTTTAGAAATCTCACATTTTCTTCCCTCCTCTCAAAATCTATCATATACAAAATAAGTAAATATAGGCAGTAAGCTGAAATGCCCGCTTACTTCACTAAGGATGCTTTACTTCTTAATAATCTAAGCACTAACTAATGGGGGACTGATCCCCAAGCAACACTTGGGACAGGTTAAGTCTTTGCAGCCTCTCAAGCAGCAGGTCCCACTTTCCCGATGAATCCATCCAATCTGCACCCGTCATCAGACTCTCACCTGGTTGTCTAAGGAAGGAGATTTTATGTATACCAACCAAAAATGTTCACGGCTTTAAGAAATAATTTTCTCAGCATTAACTGAAGTCTTATCACTGTCCAGAAGAGAGGTGGGGTCATGAGGACCGACAAAACCTGTGAAGCTGCTTCTGTAAGATTAATGTCCCACAAAATAGTGATGACTCCACAGATTTAGGGATCTGTAGATTTTTGGTTATTTAGGGTATTTTTTAGTGGAAAAACTTCAGGCCAGTCATGTGTGTCAAGAGAATGAGGTATCAATGTAATTTTCAGAATGAGTGAAAGGTAAAAATCATATTTCTTATTCTATCCTTAAATGTCTTTCTCTTCTCCAATTTCACAGATTTACTGTGTATATTTGGATTTATTATTCCTAAATATGCTTCAAATAAGATTAAATTTCCCCAAATATCCATAAAATGTGTGACAGAAGACTTTCCAATAATTGTGGGTAGGTAGTTTTCATGTTAAATTTGTCAAAATACATAAAAATGTGATGCCAAGTTCTTGGTTTCAATGTTAAATACTTAGGTATTCAATAAATTGTGCCAAGTTAATAACTTATAGTTTCCACAATAAATAGCAGAACCAGGCTTTAGTGTAAGTGCCTGACAAGCTTTTCAATTGCTGAGGCCCCTATCTCAACTCAGACATTCACATGGAATGCACATATCACCAGCTATCTGACACAGCTGCTAGCAAAACAACAAAGGAACCAGGCCACTTCTCCCTTCTCTCACCCTAATTCCCTGCCTGATGCTTTAAATTTGTTAATGAAGCATGAGCCCAAGAAGCTCTAGACACCCCAACCTCAGACCATGATAAAGGCCAAACCAGGTTCGTGCTCGCCTCCCTCCTCCTCCTGACCTCTGTGGCCCTTGGGTGTGCTGTGTACCCTCCAGGATCCGTGAGTAACAAACCTTATTTTCCAAAGTTCCTGGATGGTTTCTTGCTGAAGTGCATCCTGTGATCACAGTAAGAACCACAGGTGCAGCCTAGCCTTGGCATTGGCCCTGGTTGGGGGAGGATGTCTGCAGGCTCACTGTGAGTACACACAGCTGAGGTACTCCTCAGGCATTCCGAGCCAGGAACACTACAAACGTGCTGGGCACAGCATGGACTGAAAGCTAAATGTTAACGCTGATCTGTCTATCGGAAGAGGGAAAGTAACAGGTGTGCCCAGGGATGGCAACCTGGCACTCAATGCAAAAGATAAGGTAACTTTCCATGCCACACTGCATAGCGTTCTGCTTTTAAGAATATAAGTTAAGGATAAACTAACAATTTAATTAATCATCACATCTGCCCCTTGAGGTAGTAATTCTTCCTAGTTTTTATTTCAGTGATGGGGAAACTGAGGCTTAGAGGGCTAAAGAAATTTGCCCAAGAACACATAGCTATTAAGTGACGGAGCCCATATTTACAACCAGCCTCCACCAACACCAGTTTCTATGACCTTTACACAAACGATGCCATTTGGCGCTTTTGTCTGGCTATGACGAAGATGCACACTATTGTTTTTATGCTCCTTTAATAAATATGAATTTCTACAAAATCAGACTCAACTATAACTGTAAATGGCTAAACGGCTAGAACATCTGATGAGATGACCAGACTCCACATAAGCTTCATCAGGTTTTGCTAAAGCCAGGGGACTGTGCAACTAGTCAAAAGTCAATCAATCTACATACCAAGGCTTCACTAAGCAGGTCTTCATGCTTTCCATACTGATCCCTATACAGAAAGCAGACATGGCCAGCGTGCCATTTTTTATGAATCCTACCTTATAAAATTATTAGCCTGTATGATGAAAGTTGCAATTGTCATGCCATCAGAGTTTACAGGAAAACTCTGGAGATTTTTCAGTGCAAGATACCAGTCTTTAGCCATCTTTTAATCTAAAAAAATCTGAAGTGAGTTCATTTGCAGATTACATAATTTTATAGCTCCCTGAATTTATATATAACTCACTACCTCAGAAAATCAAAAATAGGTTTTCTTGGGAAGGTTCAAAGTAAGACATAATTTACATAATACATGACAACACATTAGATCTTAATCTCTGCCAACTCTTTTCACTTAAGTGTTACAAAGTAAAATTAGTGTCCAATAAGTTCTGTATTTAAAAATGTAAATGGAGAACCACATTCTGGCAATTACTAAAGGGAGGCTGAAATTTTATGTTAAAGTTTTTTCTTTGAATCTGATCTTCCAAAAGGAATTTCCCTGGAATATAACCTAAGATAGCTATGAAATGCTTTCAAAATGCACAGAATAAAAGTTATGATAGGTATACTCATCACAAAGAGATTTTAATAGTTCAAAATGAGCCTGCTGCATTGATTGCTTTTCCAAACCCACCCTGCTGTCAAGGCTCTTCATGGTTAAGAGGTCCAGTGTCTTCAGAGAGTGGCCCGTGGGTGAGATGAAGTACAGGCACACGTGGATGCGAGAATCATGGTAGTTAAAGAGAGAGCGTTTAATCTTCAGTTCCTCTTGGAGATAGGCCTCAAATTGAGCATCTATGTAGTCAACTATTGGTTGGTAGCTAAAACGTAATTATTTAAATAGTTAACACAACACATTCATGTTACCCTAATAAGATATTTGTGTACCTGTACATTTGAGATCTATATTTTCACCAATTAATAAAGTTAGTATCTAGCTAAACAAATAACTTCAGTAATAAAACAAATTGTGCAGGGTATGCACACACAAAGGTGGCACTTCAGAACCATCAGGACAACTTGCGCTTTACACTTCTTTGTAGAAATCACATTCATTGGATTCACCCCACTTCAGTCTCACAATCATTTAAATACTGGGTCCATTTGCCTTCTCACAAAAGTTCCCACATCCCCAGACTGCTGAATGAGATTAGGCATCTCATTGTAACCAGACTGGGCCACACACATTTAACTGGGAGAAGGCATGAGCTTAATAGCTAAAAATGTATTTGTCAAACTTCATCACTTCTGCTTCTTAAATCAGATTCATACAAAGCATTAATGTAGTAAGGAGGAAAGGCATGGTTTCATTTCCTTTAGTTATAAACAAAGGACAGTCCCATCACACCCTGAGCTCTGAGTGCTCACATCAGAGCTCCTTCTGGCATGCTTTTTCACTTTAGTTGTTTCTTTCTATCCATTCTTCAAGATGCAAAGCATATCCCAGTGTGCGTGCACAGCACCCTGGGAATCACTTCTGGATTAGTTCGTGAAAGGTCCACTTCATTTGGGTAGCTAAATCACTGCCTATACTACTCTAGTTGCTACTCTTGGCTATTCTCATTAAGTAACTTTTGGTTTCCACATGAAAGTAACAGCAAACGTTCCTCTGCCAAATTCCCTGGACACCTTCATAATGACCTTTGTTTATTGGAATATAGTCAATATACATATTATATTGGTTTCAGATGTATAACATAGTGACTCTATAATTACATATTTTACTAAATGCTCAACACTGTTCAATGTAGTTACCCCCTGCTACCATACCAAGATACCATACCAAATTGGTTCAATTGTCTATGCTGTACATTCATTCATATAACTAACTGATAATTTTAAGTCTGTACCACTTTACCAACTTCACCTATTTCACCCATCCCCCACTCCCTCACCTACTGTAACCAACAGTGTGTTGTCAGTATTTATGGGTCTATTTCTCTTTTCTTTGTTTTGCTTTTTAGATTCTACACATAAGTGAAATCATATACCATTTGTCTTTTTCTGCCTGACTTATTTCACATAGCATAATACCCTCTAGGTCCATCAAAGTTTTAGCAAATGACAAGATCTTTTTTATGGCTGAGCAATATTGAATTGTGTATATACACCACTTCTTTATCCATTCATCTATTGATAGCACATGGGTTGCTTGCATATCTTGGCTATTGTAAATCATGCTGCAATAAACCTAAGTGTGCATATATCTTTTCAATTTAGTGATTTTGTTTTCCTTGGGAACTTCCACATAAATGAAATTGCTGAGTCGTATGGTATTTCTATTTTTTAGCTTCTTGAGGAACCTCCATGCTGCTTTCCACAGTGGTTGTACTAATTTACATTCCCACCAACAGGGTAGGAGGGTTCCTTTTCCTCCACACCCTCTCCAACACCTGTTATTTCTTGTCTTTTGGATAGTGGCCATTCTGACCAGTGTGAGGTGATACCTCATTGTGGTTTTGATTTTCATTTCCCTGATAATTAGCGATATGGAGCATCTTTTCATGTACCTGTTGATCATCTATATGTCTTTTTTGGAAAAATGTCTATTTGGGTCCTCTGCACATTTTTAATTGGGCTGTTTTTGGTGTTGTTGAGTTCTTTATGTGTTTTGGATATTAGCTCCATACTGGATACATCATTTGAAAATACATTCTTCCATACTATAGGTTGCTTTTTTGTTTTATTGGTTTTCTTTGCTCTGCAGAAGCATTTTAGTTTAATGTAGTCCTATCTGTTCATTTTTCCTTTTGTTTCCCTTGCCCAGATGTTTCTAGAAAAAATTGTTCATACTGATGTTCAAGAAAATTCCTGCCTATGTTTTCTTCTATGAGATTTTTATGTCTTAATCCATTTTGAGTTTACTTTTGTGTATGGTACGACAGTGATTTAGTTTCATTCTCTTGCATATAACTGTCCAGTTTTCCCAATGCCATTTATTGAAGAGGCTTTTTTCCCCCATTAGATATTCTTGCCTCCTTTGTCATATATTAATTGATCACATATGTGTGGGTTTATATTTTGGCTCTCTATTCCATTCCATAGATCTTTGGGTCTACTCTTGTGCCAGTACCATACTGTTTTAATCACTGTAGCTTTGTTAGTATAGCTTGAAATCAGGAAGTGGGATATACCCTGCTTTGTTCTTTGTCAAGGTTGCACTGGCTATTTGTTTTTTGTGTGTGTGTGTGGTTCAATACAAGTCTTAGGATTATTTGTTCTAGTTCACTGAAAATACCACTGGTATTTTGATAGGGATTGCACTGAATCTGTAAATTGCTTCAGGCAGCATGGCCATTTTGACAATGTTAATTCTCCTATCCATTAGCATGAAACAGATTTCCATTTATTTGTGGTTTCCTCAATTTCTTTCATCAATGTCATGGTTTTCAGAGTACAGGTTTTTCACCTCCTTGGTTAGGTTTATTAGGTATTTTATTCTTTTTGATGTAATTGTTCTCTTGATTTTTCTTTCTGCTAGTTTGTTATTAGCATATAGAATGCAACAGATTTCTGTTTATTGATTTTATATCCTGCAACTTTACTGAATTTATTTCTTAGCTTTAATAGCTTTTTGGTGGAATCTTTAGGGTTTTCTATATATAGTATAATGTCATGCAAATAGTCTCAGTTTTACTTCTTCCTTACAAATTTGGATGTCTTTTATCTCTTCATTTTGTCTGACTGCCATGGCTAGGACCTCCAGCACTGTGATGAATAAAGTTGGTGAGAGTGGACATCCTTGTCTTGTTCCTGATCTTAGAGGAAAAGCTTTCAGCTTTTTGCCACTGAGTATGATGTTGGCTGTAGGTTTGTCTTAGATGGCCTTTATTATGTGATGCAGTATATTCCCTTTATACCCACTTAGTTCAGAGTTTTAATCATGAATGGATATTGAATTTTGTCAAATGCTTTTTCAGCATTTATTGAGATGATCCCATGGTTTTTACCTTTCCTTTTGTTAATGCAGTGTATCACATTGATTCATTTGCAGATATTGTACCATCCTTGCATCCCTGGAATAAGTCCCACTTGGTTGTGGTGAATGATCCTTTTCATGTATTTTTTAATTCGGTTTGTTAATACTTAATTGGGGATTTTTGTATCTATGTTCATCAGGTATATTAGTCTGTAATATTCTTTTACTCTAGTGTCTGGTTTTGGTATTAGTAATGCTGTTCTCACAAAATGATTTTGGAGTATTCCTATCTCTTTTATATTTTGGAATACTTTAAGGAGAATGGATATTAGCACTTCCTTAAATGATTGGTAGAACTCACCTGTGAAGCCATCAGGTCCTAGACTTTGGTTTGTTGGGAGTTTTTGATTACCAATTCAATCCCGTTAGTAGTAATCAGTCTGTTTAGACTTTCTGTTTCTTCTTGGTTCAATCTTGTATGTTTCTAGGAATTTAACCATTTCTTCTAGGGTGTCCAGTTTATTGACATATAATTATTCATAGGATTCTCTTATAATTCTTTGAATGTCTGTGGTGTCAGTTGTAACTTCTTTTTCATTTCTGATTTTATGCCCTTTTTCTCTTGATAAGTCTGGCTAAAGGTTTGTCTATTTTTGTTTATCTTCTCAAAGAACCAGATCTTGGTTTCACTGTTTTTTTAGTCTCTATTTTATCCATTTATGCTCTGATTTATATTATGTTCTTCCTTTTACTAACTTTGTGGTTTGTCTTTGTTTTTTTAGTTCCTTTAAGTGTAAGGTTAGATTGTTAGACTGTTCTTGTTTCTTAAGGTAGGCCTGTAATGGTATGAACTTCCCTCTTAGAACTGCTTTTGCTGCATCCATTTTGAACCACTTGTATTTCTTTTTTGACTCCATGTATTGTTTCATTTCCTTTGATCTATTCATTGATTATTTAAAGCATGTTGTTTAGCTTCCATGTGTTTGTTTCCCCAGTTTTCTCTGTAATTTCTAGTTTTATAACATTGTGGCATGAAAAAATGCTTGATACAATTTCAATCTTCCTAAATCTGTACAGATTTGTTTTGTGCCCTAATATATGATCTACTCTGGAGAACATTCCATGTGCGATGTGTATTCTGTTGCTTTTGTTTTGAATGTTCTGCATAGACCTGTTAAGTCCATTTGGCCTGAGGTGTCATATTCAATGCCTCTGTTTCCTTATTTACACTGTCTGAATAATCAAGCCACTGATGTAGGTGGGGTGTCAAAGTCTCCTACTATTATTGCATTGCTATATATTTCTCCCTTTAGGTCTATACTTGCTTTATATATTTAAGTGCTCTTATGCTGGCTGCATAGATATTTATAATGGTATATCCTTTTGTTGGACTGATCCTTTCATCATTATGTCCTTCTTTGTCTCTTGATACTTTCTTTGTTTTGCAGTCTACTTTGCTCATGTAAATATTGACCCTCCAGCTATTTTTTTCATCCCTGTTTGATTAGAATATCTCTTTCCATCCCCTCAGTTTCAGTCTGTGCATGTCTTTAAGTTTGAAGTGGGTCTCTTACATGCAGCAAATAGAAGGGTCTTGGTTTTTTATCCATTTGGTCACCATATCTCTTTTGATTGGAGCAGTTAGTCCATTTACATTTAAATTATCAATATGTATGTACTTGTTGCCATTTTGTTAAATGATTCCTGGTTATTTTTGTAGCTCTTCTATGATCCTTTCTTCCTCTCTTTTCTTGTGTTTTATGACTTTCTTTAGTGTTATGGTTGTGTTCCCTTGTTGTTCTTTTTTTGTGTATTGTAAGTTTTTGGTTTGTTGTTACCACGAGGTTCTTACATGACATCCTATGAATATAACAATTTATATTACGCTGATGGTCACTGAAG